ATCACCATCACCATCACCATCACCATCACCATCACCACCATCATCACCATCATCACCATCACCATCACCATCATTACCATCAGCATCATCACCATCAGCATCAGCACACAGGCTCGTGGCTGCTTTGCTGACACTGAGCGGAGAACACTGCCCCTGCCTTTTCCCGGTCACCTTTCCTTCCAGTCTTGCTCTTAGTTGAGGTGAAATGTTTCAGAAAGGCTTCTGTGACCCCAAGACTTTAACGTGCTCGTGGTCCAGGCAGTGAAGAGCTCCCTGGTGAGGCATCACATTGGTAACTGCCAAATACCAGCTGGGCAGGAGGGAGCGCGCCACCTCATTCCGGACGGCGGTGACGAGGACGGGCACACCTCACCTTAGAAAGGAAAGCCTTTCACAGCTGCCTCCCTGGGAGCCGAGGGGGTGCCCTCAGCCAGGTCTCCAGGCAGCCGAGGGCCTCGTCGTGCGCTGGAGTAGACACATGACAAGGAAGAAGGAAGGGCAAATGCAACATGAAGCACAGGTGGGTCCCCAGACGCTGGTGTGAGCGTGAGCTACGAGCCCAGGAGGAGTGTTTGCCCAGTGACGCCCAGACACCTGCTGGCACTGGTGGGAGGCACAGCCACCCTCCCGGGCCACCCTCTGGCACACGCGTGCGGCGAGGGCCTCTGGCGCCATAGGCTACGGTCGTTTCACACGGCACGGGGTGTGGACCGTGTCCGCCGCCCCCCACGGCATTCTGTAGCTGCTGCCCTTCTGCAGTGAGCTCCGCTCAGAAACACTCACGACTTGCGATCTCGGTGCCAGGGAGCCGGGTGCGGGGCGTCCTCATGCTGATGGGCTTCCCAGGGGTGCCAGCCCCCGGGATTGCAGGAATGACGGCCGTGAGCGCGCATCTCCTGACGACTATCCGCCAGGGAACTGCTGGGCCAGAGAACTCCGCAGGCAAGTGCTGCGTCTGAAGTTTACAAAAATATCTAAAGACACTTAGACAAATCCAGGAGGAGATATCTCTTTTAAAAAGAATTCAAGCACAGCTGGTGAGGCTCAGGGGTTGAGCACCGACCTAGGAACCAGGAGGTCAGGGTTCGATTCCCGGTCAGGGCACAGGCCCAGGTTGTGGGCTTGATCTCCAGTGAGGGGCGTGCAGGAGGCAGCCGGTCCATGATTCTCATCATTGATGTTTCTCTCTCTCTCCCTCTCCCTTCCTCTCTGGAATCAATAAAAATATAAATTTTTAAAGTCAATTGCAGTTTACGTTCGATATTATTGTGTAGTAGTCTCAGGTGTGCGGCACAGTGTCCCCTGGTCTCTCCAGGACGGGTTATCTTAGCAGTAATACGAGTCCAGCGGGATGGGAACTGAGGCCTGTGGAGCTCCGGCCGGCACCCCTGTCATCGAGCCACCCCAGCGGGCTCCTGGCTTCCTTTTATCTATTTTTTAAATAAATGCTTCTATCTCACCAGTTTCCTCATTAAACTTGTGTCTTTTAAAATGAATTTAAGAATTAGGGATATTAGTTCTCTGTCACCTGTGCTACAGCTCTTCTCTCTGTAGACTTACCTTTGTAAGGTTTTGATTGATGGAAGTTTTAAAGGTTTACGTATTGAATTGGTGATTATTTGCTCAATCGCCTTTTGCTTTTCTGTTGTGTGTAGGAAGGATTTTCAAAATGCTGACAGGCCGAGCTCAAAAGGTTCCCCATCACTGCTGTAGGCGCTGCCACTGCGAATTCCACGCCTTCCTCCCGCCCAGGAAAGGGGGAGGGGAGCGAGCGACTGCTGAATCCCAGGATATGAATCCCCCTGAGCTCCTATCAAGTGTGCTTTCCTGCGATGGTGTGAGTGTTTGCTGCTGGGAGAGCCCGGCGTGCACGGCCCTTGCGGCCTGTGCTCCTGGGCGGGGAGGGGAATGGAGGGGAATGAGCAGCCCTTCTCCCTTCCTCTCTGGAATCAATAAAAATATAAATTTTTAAAGTCAATTGCAGTTTACGTTCGATATTATTGTGTAGTAGTCTCAGGTGTGCGGCACAGTGTCCCCTGGTCTCCCCAGGACGGGTTATCTTAGCAGTAATACGAGTCCAGCCTTTGGTACCAGACACGATCCCCAGCAAACACGGAAGGAAGGGCAAAAGGTACCCAAACCCCCTGACGTTGGTTTATCAGGGAGAGAGTAAGTCTGTTCATTTTCGCTCTTAAATGTCCACGCTTACAACGACCATCCTGAGATCTATTTCAGCAGCACCTGAGGGCCCACGTGTTCCCACACATTCTCTCGAGTGTCCATGTGTGTGACCTCACTTTAGAGACGTGTCTACCATAAGAGAGTCTGGGAACTTAGCACGCGTGAACCGATCAATGGCGTGATCAGCGTGGGGGCCCCGGGGGTCGTCCTTGGGTGCTGGATTCCAGGAAATGCGCACTGGGCCCCGAGGCCAAGGGGCTCTCAGTCACGCACCGCCCATCACCAGCCGAACGGCGCTGGGTAGACGGGACCCTCCCCCTAGGGCTGACCCTCCCCCGCCAGGGCTGCCACGCGGGGACGGGCCTCAGCCGCCGTGGCTCTGTTAGCAAGAGACACTGCAAGCTGCCCAGGGCTCGGCCGCCCAGGGGCCCGTGTCCCGGGCACAGGGAGTGGAAGACCGATGTCCGTCCTCCAGGTCAGAGGCAGGCAGTGAGTCTTCGGCTGCCCTTGGACTGACCAGGCCCCGCTCCCGCTCCCTGTGCCCGGCACCCATCTGCCCGGCGGAGATAAGCCGCCTCCCGGCCACAGGCCACGGGCTGGGGATTGGATGGTGCCGAAGGGAGACAATGCAGGAACCCAGGGCCTGGAGCCAGCCCCTCCCACGGGCTCTCAGACAAATGCTTTCATCTCTGCCCCCCGGGGCAGAAAGTGAGGAAATGTCACAATGAAGAAGAGGAGAGAAGATGCCTGCGGATCCTTAAATAACCCGGAGCCGATGCGGGAGGAGCGGAGCTGCCTGGGCCCGGGAGCAGCCAGAGCCCCGCACCGGGAGCGGCTTCTCAAATATGGGCGCTGCCCCGCGGGCCGGGGAGGAGAGGGGCACACGGAGGCAATGGGAGCACATCGTCCTTCCATCCCTCTGGCTCCACGGCCCCAGGAACCACGCCGTCCTCCGGGGAGCCCGGGCCAGGAGCTGTGCCGGGCGCCCAGAACGGCCCGCGTCAGGAAAGCTTATCTGCGGTTTTGTTTGATGCGTCTGCACAAAGCACATTTGCCGTAGGTGCTCCATTCAGAGGAAAGTCGGGGGAAGTAAATGGAACAGACGAGCCGGGCAAACCTGGCGGTTGCTCGCGAGCAGTGTTTGATGATAGAGGCACAAACGCATAATGTGGTGTCATCTCTCCGAGCGCAATATGGCTCCCCATATGGAGCGCGCGCTGATCGGCCCGCAGAGCAGCGAAAATAAACAGA